GTTCTACATTTTTTTTCAATCGATAAGGCATTTTCTTTTAATTCTATTTTCTGAAACATTTACTTCATTTTTCTCTTTTTGTCTCATGAGCTTTTTTCCTTTTTATGACTACCTAGTTTCATTGTGTTTCCTGTTACACCTGGAGTTGTCATGTCAGATGAAATAAGAGGGTTTGAAATAAGAGAGGTTTTCTCTAAATAGAAGTCAGGGCACTACAACAGAGAAGTAATTGATAATCAAAAAGAGGAGAAAATTTTACCATAGGCTATGTGTTTATTTATTTTTTATAATTCTAAAAACCCCAGAACTTATTAATAGAAAGTAGCTTTTTCTGATTAAGTATATAATTTAATTATATCACTTACCTGTTAAGCCTAGTAGTTAGTGGGTTTGCCTCTGCTTTGTTTTCTAAAAGAAAAAGTAACAACAACAAAGACTATAGAGGTAACCCACAGAACACCAGATTAGATAAGGATTAATATGCAATGAACATAAGGAACTCAGTGTATTTGAAGAATGGACAAAGAAACTGAATAATTTATTTCTGTTCCTTAGTAAGGGATATAGGGGGTGTCTCTGACATGAACTCAGTGGCAGGCTCTCTGATCACCTCCCCCTGGTGGGTGCAGCCTTGCCAAGCCACAGAGGAAGACAAGGCAGCCAGTCCCAGTGAGACCTGATAGGCTAGGATCAGACAGAAGGGGAGGTTCGAACCTCCCCTATCAGTGGATAGGGGAGTGACATAGGGGGAGAAGAGGGAGGAAGGGTAATATTGGGAGGAAAGGAGGGAGGGGGCCACAGTCGGGATCCAAAGTAAATGATTTGTAATAAATAATAAATAAATAATTTTAAAAAAGAAGAGACAGAAATAATCAATAGATAAATGAAAGAATCTCAAATATCAATAATAGTAAAAAGCCACAAATTAAAACTATAGTTAGCTAGTATTTCATACTTTAAAATGGCTGTTATCAAAAAGTCAAAGATATGTGCTGTTGACATTGCACAGACAATTTTTTGTATACTGTTGGAGGGGATACAGATTAGAAACTATGGAAAGCATGTTGTACATCACTCAAAGAATTACAAATAGAGTTGTCATATTATCCAACAATGTCACTAATAGCTATGGTTCAGTAACTGTTGTAGAATATGTAGAGGACATACCTGCCTCCAAATCTCACTCCAGTGTTGTTTACAACAACTAAGATACAGAAACAACCTTAGAGGTTATCAGTAGATGACACAGAAATAATGATATTAAGCTTTAGATGTGATCCATTTATCATCGTATCTATCTATCTGTCCTCTATCTATTCATCTATAACCATTATTTATTTAGTCATTTAAAAAATTTTTAAACACTATAAAGCTCAGGGACATTGTATTTAGTGGAATAATGTAGATACACAAAGGCAAACTCTTCACTGTGTTACCTAGATATGGAATCTTAAAAAACTGCACACAGAAACATAGTTAAGTTGTGGTTACCAGAGACTTCAAAATGATAGGTCGATAGTGGTCAAAGAACATGTAGGTAGGAGGACTACCTACATGTAGTTAATAGACTCTGTTACACATCATGATGACTATAATTAAGGTATTACAAATTTTCAAGTTGTTAGCTTAAGTTTTTTCACCAAAAAATTGCTAAATATATGAAGTATTTCACGTATTCATATATGTTTGGACATTGTGGTATATGTATATGTATATGTACATGTACATGTATATTTTTTCAATTTTATTTATTAGTAAAAAGTTGAAATTTAATAGAGTCAGGAAAAAATAATATCAAAGTGTATTCAGGTAGAATTTTTAAAAAGCAAATAGTTTTTTGAAATGAATTTCAAAGAAATTTTGTTTCACCAAGTAAGTGTAATCATTTGTATGTTTCACATAACTACATGGAATGTGCACTTAATAGTTTCCTTTTATATATTTTCCATTGCTGTAATTTATTTTAGGAATTCCTTTTCCCATGACACAAAGTATTTAGGTTTTTACCTGAATGAAAAGAGTTCTAATACAAGATGTTGTAAGACTTAAAATTTTAAAATAGTTGTTAACAATGGGCACAAGAAAATTGAGTATAATTTCCATATTTAAGATTCCTTGTTCCTACTTTTTCAAGATACCACTTTACTTTTTCTTACTTCTGACATTACTTAAATTTTTTTTGCATATTTTACTTTAAAAAATATATATTTATTTATTTATTTATTACAATGTATTCACTCCATATCCCAGCTGTAGCCCCCTCCCTCATCTCCTCCCAATCCTGCCCTCCCTCCCTCTTCTCCTCCCATGTCCCTCCCCAAGTCCACTGATAGGGGAGGTCCTCCTCCCCTTCCCTCTGGCCCTAGCCTATCAGGTCTCATCAGGACTAGCTGCATTGTCTTCCTCTGGGGCCTGCCTGGCATGGCTGCTCCCCCATTAGGGGGAGGTGATTAAAGAGGCAGCTACTGAGTAATGCAGGATAACATTGAAATTCTTTTTTTTTTAATTACACTTTATTCATTTTGTATCCCCCCATAAGCCCCTCCATCCTCCCCTCCCGATCCCACCTTCCCTCCCCTTTCTGCATGCATGCCACTCCCCAAGTCCACTGATAGGGGAGGTTCTCCTCTCCTTTCTGATCTTAGTCTATCAGTTCTCATCAAAAGTGGCAAAAGTGGCTGCATTGTCCTCTACTGTGGCCTGGTAAGGCTGCTCCCCCCTCAGGGGGAGGTGATCTACGAGCAGGCCAATGAAATTCTTAATTTGGTCTCAGTCTCCTTTTTGAATTCCTGACTTGCAGATTTCTTTCCTCTTTTCCCATTTTCTTTTCTACTGGCCCACAGCCCTTTCTCACAGTTTGTAGTTTGCCATCTTTCAAACACAGCCTTTTTCATCACCTTTGCTCTTACTGTTTATTAAGTCTGCCACAGCCTTCCCATGACAAGGGAACAAAATTCTGTTTCATTAGTGGAGGCCTTGCTTATCATCTAATACAGAGGAGTAGATGAGTCCTGTATCTTTTCAACAGGAAGATTGCCATATTGTGGTACAGATTTTGAGTTCTGTATGGTAAACTTGTCGAGAGAGGGGGTGGTCTTCTCTATCAATGTCCTTAACACAGAAAAGAAACTCAGTAATATGTTTGCAGAGTTGTTTAGTCAACGAACAGACTTAGAGAAACTAAATTGCTAACTTTACACAGGATAAAAATTTAGCAAAAGTCATGGACTCTGATGTCTGCTCTTTGATCACTTTCCCAGGGTGGGGAGGCCTAGCCTGAAGGCTGAGGAAGAGGATGTCAGGCAGTCAGTCCTAATGAGACTTGATAGGCTAGGGTCAGATGCAGGGGAGGAGGGCCTCTCCTCTCTGAGGACTAGAAAAGGCAGATGGGGGAAGAGGGACAGACCAGGAGGAGACAAGGGAAGGGGTTACACTGGGAATATAAAGTAAATAAATTATAAAAAATTAAAAATGTAATAAAATTAGTATGAAATCTAGTTTAAAAAACTTAGCAAAAGGGGTTCCTTAAACAGATATGTGTGGTATTTCCTTTGACTTTTTAATTTTTCATTTTTGAGTATTTTTCTTCTCAAATTTCTATTTTCAGTAACCAAACCAGTTTTACCATCTACTCTGCAATGAACCTGAATGTAATTTTAAGACAAAAGTATCTTTAGGGCAAAATAAAAAAGGATCAAACTGGGTGCTTTATATCTTAAGGACTTGCAGTGATGTTGAAGGAGTAACAGGACATTTTCAAAGAGTTTGGTGCTCTATAGTTTTATTATACTTACCATTGATAATTGTTCGCAACATGAGACAGTGTTTATATGTGTAGCCTTACTAAGAGTCTGGAATTTAGGCAATAATTAGCCTCCTAAGTGAATCTGTTTGGAAATCATAAAGTGACATTCTCTTCCCAAAGAAAGATGTGGTCGTTTCGAGACTGCGCTCGCCGCTTTAATGGTGTCTCAGCTGAACCAGATGCCTTACTTGCTTTCTTCTCCAGAAACTGCTTCATAGTTTTAAGTGCAGTGCCTACAGCACACACGGGCACTATTAACGAATCAGAATGAGAGCAGGGGAAAACTCATCTAGGGTCCACACACCTAAATGCAGTTAGTAAACAGAGACACTAACTCTCATTAAACATAATTAAACCTAATATTGACTGTAAACTGTTACTTACCTTAAAGTTCTCTGCAGAGAGAGTGGAAAGGGATTAACCTAACAGATTGGGACATTAATTACTACCTATTTCACATTAAAGTTACCATCAAGAAGAGCTATCTTCATAAATAAAACATAGGAGGGATTGAGAGATGGAAAATATGTAAATTCATTTTATAGAAAGAGAAGAGTCTATATTAAAAAATAAAAAGAGGTCTGTGAGTGATGCCAGCTTCAGCAAAAGGGAACGCTAGCTAATGACTACAACAACTGGACTGAAATAATCACAGAGGTGTTCCTTTGCTTCTGACTGACAGGACCTGCTTCCTAGGAGACTTAGCTCAGCTCAGCATGAGTCTTTTCATGTACCCTTCCTGCCATTTCTTCAGGCTAGTGAAGGTTTGGGAGAGGAGGAAGGGACTTGGGAGAGATATAATTTCTTCCCCCCCTTTGCAGTCATTAGTAGCAGCTTATTTATTAAATTTATTATAAAGATTGTAGAAATGTTTGGTTTGTCAGTGAGAAAATTTTTTTTTCCCAGTCAAAATGGTCTGGCAACTGGTCTCCTGCTACTATTTAATAATCTCCTTCTTGGGTGCAATCTAAAGAGAATGTTGTGAAGAATATAAAAATGTCAGCTAAATTTAAGATCCACTGTTAAGTTTTATATTATGCTGTAGCCTCAAGAGGGGGCCAGATTTAGGAGAAAAGAATTTAAAGAGAAAGTAAGGACAATACAGACATGTGCTGGACTTAGAATATTTTCCCCAATACATCAGATTGTTTAGGCTGCTATCTATGACCTGGTTTTCATTTTCTTTCCACTCAAGAGGTACTGCACTGAGGATGGACATTCCTATTGCTTCTCTCAGGTGGGTGTTCTTTTTTTGTAACTAAACCCCACATATATGCTTGGTTAAATTGTACTATTCAACCATAGTTTAAATTTAATTTGGCTATATTCTTAAACAAGTTTAGGAGCTATTGTGCTATTTTTTTTTTCAGATTTTCATAGGCAAGCACCAGTGTAATATAGCAGTCGTGACTGTAAAAAAATAGAACCTAGAAAGTAAGCCTGAAGATGTATTTTTTTTCTTAAAAGGATGAGGAGTTCAATTTAGAATAAAAGTTTTTTTTTTTTTTAATAAATTTTTTTCTAGTGAATTTAAACTTAGTTTCTCAGGTTATGTGTTTAACTAATGCAACAAAAATAATTAATGGACAAAAAGTCTATCCTTCATTTCACCCATTGAACAAAAACACACCAACTGATTGGATGACAGAGGATGAACAAAAACAGTGGGAATGAGAGTACCTCCATCGTCGGCTCTTGTAGCAATAGTGACATTACGAAATAACCATAACAATGGCATTCATATTAATCAGACATATTTATACAGAATTAGTGTTGGCTTCTGCTCTATATCACCTTAGTTTTACGTGAACTTTTGTTATCTGTGCATATCAAAAGAGACATGGTGAATGAACAAAGAGGCCCTGTTATGAGACAAGTATTATTTGACATTTTGGGAAGCTCTTATTATAGGGTTTCCTCTTATGTGAGAACAACGGGAAGGTTGTCATAGTTTCTCTATTACAGACACTCTGGAATTTTAAAACAGAAACGGAGCCCATTTTTTTCCTTGAAGAAGATTTATCAATTAAAAGCATTGGAATGCTCAAAGACTTCTTATGGAGGTTGGCTACCCTGACCTTATTTGAGCATGTGAAACCCTGACCTCTCATGGTATCTCTTCATGTCATGATTTTTACTTTGCCTTACAGAGCTTGGGAGCTAGCAGTTATTTTTTCCAAAGATGAGATATATTTTTAGACTTACTGGAAATATCCAATTATAACAATATGCAGAATTTTTTATAAATTCTTTGATTCTACTGCAAACCAGATATGTTTTGTTTATTTGTTCATTTATTGTGCTAAAGGAGAAAAGTTCAAAGTAAGTTCTTTAGAGGCCTTTTTTCTTTGCTTGTGTTAGATCTGACTGGGCATTACGGTAAAAAAAAAAGTGTCAACCTGGGTAGCATTGAATTTCCTGTTAAAATCACTGAGCTTACATTTTAGTCTGACCAGTTACCACAATCTTATTTTGTTTATAGTTTGGGTTAAGATTTTTTTTAATTAAATTTTTATTTTTTTATATTAATTACAGTTTATTTACTTTGTATCCCAGCTGTAGACCCCTCCTTCATTCCCTCCCAATCCCACACTCCCTACCTCATCTCCTCCCTGACTCTAAGTCCACTGATAGGGGAGGTCCTCTTCCCCTTCCATCTGACCCTAGCTTATCAGGTCTCACCAGGACTGGCTGCAATGTCCTCCTCTGTAGCCTAGCTAGGCTACATCCAAAGAATAAAGGTAAGAATTGCTGAAGGGAAAATAGAGGAGTCGCTCTAGCTGATGCACATCTGCAGCCCGTGTAGCTGCCCAGCAATTCAAGCGCTGATAGTAGAGGTCAGACCTACCACCTGTCATGGGTTTATAGTTAACCTCTCCAACATGACAGTCATTAGGGAACATCGTTTAATAGCAAAACACACCAACAGTTTGACCAATTGATCACTTAGCTGCTTTTTAACCATAGAATTACAATAAGGCATTTATAATTATTAGTGTGTATATTTACTCCCATTCTGTTTTCCCGAAAGTTTTATGCTAACAGATGCTGAGTTTGATGGTTTAGTAAAAACAAATAGCTGCCCCTCCCTGAAAGAATGTCTTCCAGGATTGACATTTAAGCACATAAAATCAAGCTACATTTAAATCACACAGACACACACACAAAGATAAAATAGAAATAAATCATATTAAAACTCCTAATAAACTATGCATCCAGAAGAGTAATAGGAAAAACAGATCTCTTAATTTGAAATATGTGAATCTATTGAAATACTTAAATTGAGTTATTTAATTCCTGTTTTGTTTAATTTTAAAAGAAAACTGATATTTTCTAGTACATTTCGTGTTTTAATTGGATATTAAGTAAAGTAATTTTACTTGTGGCTATTCTGCTTCTAAGTAGATGGTCACTTAAAATAGACAAAATTGGAGGGAAGATTCTCCTGTTGTTGAGTCCAAATTTCCTTGGCTTGTATTTCTGTCTTTCACTTGGAAGACATCAACTCAACTTGTCATCTAAGAGAGCTCATTCCATATATCTCTTTGTTGTCATTGTTACATACACAGTTTCTGTCTAAAAGGCAGTCTAAAGTTCAAAGCAATTTACATCTTCTTAAGTGTTCCTGATTCCCCAGTACAGATTTTTGAACTGTGGGAGCAGAGAATGTTTCATTTATAATTTTGAATTCTTTTTAGATATTACATATGTTTTTAGGGGACTCTTGTTAAATGTGGATAACTGAGGTGAGTGAGAAGAGTCTACACATTCAAAGTTATATCTGTGAGTGATAGTTTTCCTTTTCAGGGAAGTAAAGAAATGTGCCTGCAACTTGCAAATCTCTAGTGTAGTTTATATGTGTGTGTGTATACATATGTGTATTTATATGTATATGTGTGTATATGTACTTAGAGTTTTGGTTTCGTTAAAAACCCAGTTATGTTATGTGAATATGTTTTGGTTTTAATCCAGGGGTGGGATAGAGGCTGCTCCACAGCAGGTGATTATGGTTTGCCTCATGCACTAGCAGTGTGTGATCTCTGCTAGCTGCAGATGGCTTAATTCTAGGGGCTCTGGAGAGGAAGTACATGCAAGAGCCTAGAGAAGGATGGGAACTCTACAAAGAACAAGAAGAAAAAGAGGGGGAGGAGGAGCAAGAGGAAAAAGAAGGAAGAGAAGAAAGGAAGAAAGGAATCGAGGAAAGAAAGAAGAAGGAATGAGGAAGAAGGAAGGAGAAGAAAGAAGAGGAGGATGAGAAGGAGGCAGAAGAGGAGGAGGAGGAGGAGGAGGAGGAGGAGGAGGAGGAGGAGGAGGAGGAGGAGGAGGAGGAGGAAAGTGGCAGTGGTTGTGGTGGCTATTGCTCAACTCTGCTGCTCCTGGTTGCTCTTGTTGCAGTTTGCAAGTGTTCCTGAACAAAGAAGAAAAAAATGGAAGATGTCCTGACAGAAAACCCTATGTCCCTAATCAACAGGAAGTAGTCTAAAGAGACCTACTCTCTTCCCCTCTAACCTTCTCTTTCTCCTACTTAGTGTTTGGGGGTTGGAAGGGAGGTAGCTATAAGAACCCAATAAAGTAGCATAAAGAAATATGCCAGCATGTATATGTATGTGCTTATTTATATCTCCTATGACCTAATTTAAGGGCACTTGCATTGTATGTTTGTATATATTTTCAGTGACAAATCCATCCTTTTGTTTACGTAAAAGCATTCATTTGTGTTTTTTTGCTACACACACACACACACACACACATATGCTATATGTATCATACATATAACCTGCTAATTTATATGCTTCAAAAATATAATTTAGTCATAGGCTGCTAATGTTTTAAATTCCTGTTTCTCAGTGTGTGTGTGTGTGTGTGTGTGTGTGTGTGTGTGTGTGGGTGCGTGCGTGCACACACACGCACATGCACATGTGCATGCCTACACTTTTCAGTAAACATGTGCTAATGATGAAAGTTCTAAAGATTTATCTTGGAAAGGAAGTTATACAATTTTCAAAATTTTTATATTAATTACAGTTTATTCACTTTGTATCCCAGCTGTAGTCCCCTCCCTCATTCCCTCCTAATCCCAACCTCCCTCCTTCATCTCCTCCCATGTTCCTCTCTGAGTCCACTGATAGGGGAGGTCCTCTTCCCCTTCCATCTGACCCTAGCTTATCAGGTTTCATCAGGACTGTCTGCATTGTCCTCCTCTGTGGCCTGGCAAGGCTGTTCCCCCCTTAGGGGGAGGTGGTCAAAGAGCCAGCCACTGAGGTCATGTCAGAGACAGTCCCTGTTCCCATTATGAGGGAACTTACTTGGATACTGAACTGCTATGGGCTACATCTGTGCCTAGGGTTCTAGGTTATACCCATGAATGATCCTTGTTCGGAGTATCAGTCTCAGAAAAGACCCCTGTGCCCAGATTTTTTGGTTCTGTTGCTCTCCTTGTGGAGCTCCTATCCTCTCTATGTCTTACTATCTCCCCCTACTTTCATAAGATTCCTTGCATTCTGCCCAAAGTTTAGTTATGAATCTCATCTGCTTTGATACACTGCTGGGTAGTCTTTCAGAGGCTCTCTGTGGTAGGCTCCTGCTCTGTTTCCTGTTTTCTCATTCTTCCAGTGTCCATCCTGTTTGTCCTTCTGAGTGAGAATTGATCATCTTCTCCAGGGTCCTCCTTTTTGATTAGCTTGTTCAGGTGTACAGATTTTTGTAGGTTTATCTTATATTATATGTCTAGTATACACTTATAAGTGAGTATATGTCTGCTTCTGGGATACCTCACTCAGGATGATCTTTTCTACATCCCATCATTTGCCTGCAAATTTCATGATACAATTTAAATGTCTTTAAAACTTTAAAAAATGTACTCCTGAATTGTGTATTGAAAAGCAGATTCAGTGTGAATATAGTCAACAATAAATGAGTCCATTTTTAGTACATTTGTGGGTAGTGACATGCATGGACTCCATTAATAGCGATGGATGCTGTGTTCTTTTCATCTCACTTTGCTAATGAATTTGTGCTGGGAAGATTTAATTGTCAGAATGAATATTTAGGGTACTATGCATATTTTCTATAAAGAGTTATAAAGCTTGGCGGACAAGCTCTCTCTAGGGGACACATAGATTCATCTTCTCCTTGGGTATGAAGTGAGCTAGTTATCTTTGTGTATGGGTTCATATTTTCTACCATCTCCAACATATATGTGGTCATCTAAAAGCACTACTGAATCTGTAGCAGTAA